CATACATTTCAGGAACAGCATGAGGGTGAGTAAATGATGACAGAATTTTCATTCCTGGTTGAACTATCTCTTTAAAGTAAAACTTTTCTGTGAGTTTTCTGAGATTGTGTAGGTTGGAGGACAGAGGGTACCTATCTGGCCGGCTATGACAGGTGGCCGCACCATTAGCAACACCAGTTTGTCCAGCAGTAGGTGGAGGAAGCGCACAACAGGCTCCAGCTGAGAGGAATTCAAAGCTGCTATACTAGACTTCAGCTCTGCCTCCAGATTATTCTCCATAATGCGCATGTCTCCTATCCTCACAGGGAACATGTGCTCATCCAGCGCATGCACCAGTGCAAAGAACTTATCTAAATACTGGTCCTGGGCAGAGGAAAGAAACGTATCAGAGAATGCATTTGTTTGAAGTGGGCTATTAATCAGTATTTTGACAATTTAACTTATAATTACCTGTGTGTGGATGGCGGATGCAGCCACAACCTCTACATTAAACACCCCTCTGTGGTTATCCACCCATTTCATTCCGGGAAGAGGAACCTACACACAAATGCATGAATGAACCTGCAGCATAATTTCTATGTATTATTACACATTGCCACCCTAAAATACTCTCAAACACACTTCCTACAAATCATAAGTCCCACTGTAGTGTATATGAAAAATAACAGCTTTGCTAACAATACAGGTACCATATTGATTAAAAGCATAGTTAAAAATATTAGCACTTGGTCTGTAAAAAATGCTAATGGTAAATAAATGTTCAAGGTCCAGGTTTTTTTCTGACAACATCAGTGATCAACGAGGAAAGTCTTTTAACATTTAATTTACGGTATATTAATGAGGGATACAAGATACTAGATACTAAACAAGGCCATTAAAATAATAAAATACATTTTCATATTTAACTATGTGTGTTGTGTGACAGAAATTGCCTTACATCAGGAGAGAGAACAGAGTAAGACTGAGGCGGTTTCTCCAGAGATACTGGAAGGCAGAAGTGACCTGTTCTCAAGCGTCCATTTTGCAGCATGGGAATCCACTGAGGAAAAATAAGAGGCATAACATTTACTATAGGTGTGAACCTTCATTCACATCATGATTAGATTAGATTTTTATTCAGAGAGTCATGATCCTGGGACCAGTTGCATAAACATCACTATGTTAACGTTAATCATCACTATGTAGCGACTGTGTCTTAAGAACTAGTTTTATTGACAAGCTGTCAATTTAGACCAGAATATGTTTTTTGTAACTGATTTTAAAACCGTATGACTACTTTTTCTTGCAGGGAAAAAAAAATAAAAATGAGATAAGCAGTCTACACAACCAGCCACAGTATCAAAACTATTCTCGATGCATCTCAATTCGCATCTTTGTTATTGAATAAAGGAGGCATGTTGCCTAAATCTGTACACAGGTTTATGGAAATGTTCTCTATTAGCACTGTGTGACTGCCAAAAATGTTAAAAAAGAAAATAAAATCCTTTTATAGTGTTCATGTACACTGTCATTCAAAAGTTTTCTTTTTATGCTCACCAAGGCTGCAATTATTTGATCAAAAATACGGTAATACTGTAAAATTGTGAAAATGAACACTTTTCTTTCTTCTTTAGTTCTATTTTAATGTTTCAAAATGTAATTTATTCTTTTGATGGCAACACTGAATTTTCAGTAGCCATTACTCCAGTCTTTAGCGTCACAGGATCCTTCTGAAATCATCTGATATGCTGATTTAGTGTTCAAAAAACACTTGTGGTTGTGCTGGTTAACATTTTTGTGATTTCTTTAATGAATAGAAAGTTCAATATAACAGCATTTATTTGAAATGTAATTTAACGTATCCTTGCTGAATAAAAGTTTGTGTGTGTGTGTATGTGTGTGTGTAAAACTATGTACCGTGTATCCAACAGGCGTCTCCAGTGGAGTGTTCTGTTTCTGTTGGCAGCTAACATGGTAGAAAGTAAAAAGGATGTGATGATGGTCGGTCAGCGAGGCTGGTAGCTTGATTTTAACTTCATCGTGGAAATCTGGTGATCTAAGGAAACAACATTTGATATACAGGGAAAAAAAAATCAGAAAAAAAATGTTAAAATGTCAGTGTCATTAATCCATTTCTTATACAAATGCAAACAAAAACGTGTCCATCTGTTGTTCTAAATTCACATACAGCTGACCCTGCCGCTCCGTGAGCTGATGTTTGATCCCCTGTTAAAGACTTCTGCATGATGTCATGTAAATGAGTTGTTAATAAAAGTTGCAGCCATTAACTCACCGATTATGATAGACTACAGCAGTATATGTCTCCTTTGAATACTCTGAACAACTGGATTTCCCGAAGATTACCTAAGAGACCAAGGAGTGAAGAACTGTAAGTATCTTATGCCATTTCGCCAAGTCAAGAGAGTGCTTCTCCATGACATGTTTGGTCATATGAAGATTGTAAATTGATCTGCATTGTCAAAACTTACAGGCATAGCATTGCTAGGATCTTCCCCATTCATGAACTGTACTTTCACTGTAATGTTACGGGCTGAGCCTTGACGGTTAGCAAAGTTCAGGCTCTGTGGGTTCACATGCAGCAGGTTCCTACACACACAGGTAGACAGAGATTTTATTTTTTTAAACACATTTAGAAGTTCCAATAAGTTTTATAAATCTTAAATGCGTAGGTTTCGATAATTTTATGTGTAATTAAGTTTAGAAATGTTTTTTTTTGTTGTCTCAGACGATTCCTTAACTGAAATTTTAACAGTCCCTTGTTAAAATTAACAGGAAACAACTAATTAATTTTAAAATAGCATTTTAAAAAACTTGGAATTTACACCAAATTTAGTTGCACAAAACAGAACTTCAAAAGAAGAAAAAAATTCTGGTCACATGTGAAAACATCTTTAACATTAACATTAATCCCCATTGATCTTTTCATTGCATAGATTTTTGTTGCACAGCCGTTTCCGTTCTGCGGTTACAGTAGCTGCAGGAACGGACAGAAATACTGCAGTGACGTGGATGCACTCTCCGGGGAGACCGCACAGACTGCAAAGTTCACAGACTTTCCAAGGAGCACAGATCTCTCATGCTCTCTCAAAATTACCTCCTCTCTAATGTGGTGCAAATATTACTTTTATTTCATACAGTGATCTTTTGCTGAAAAGGAAAAAATTAGTAAGGAGAAGTGAATAATGCTTTTGCATTGTACACTCAAGCATCAACAGTTTGTTATTCCATGAAAATATTTTAAATGTTTCCATATTAGTGGCATTTTCACACACACAAAATAACAACAACAACAAGAGATGCAATAAAAAAGTGGCGTAATTCCAGTTCAGGAAACCCATTAAATGGGTTAATCATTTTCTATTTGGCACAGGGTGTAAGAAGGGACATTGCAGTCCTCCCATTCCACTGACACATAAGCTCCTACACCCTGAATGGCCTCTGGATACACAATGGGAGTCTGGTCATGTCTGCGGTGTCCACAAATTTGGATTGAGGCCAAACTGTCCGCACCTGTCTGAACAGGACCAGTTAGTCTGAGCGTGCAGCAGGGCAACGATAATACATCACAGGAGCAGACATAAACCAAGTTAGCTGGCAGGCAAATAAAAATGAAATCAAGTGTGTTTCAACTTTATGTATGTATGTTAATATGGTCAATGTTTCAAAATGCATTATGTATTCAAAAATGTACTATCATCAGATAACAATGTGCTAATTACTTCAGTTTGCCTTTAAATTTAGCTGAATGTTGAAATGTTAAATGTGTTTTTATATCTCACATGCAAAAAATCTGTCTGCAAAAGTGTTGAATAGTGTACATTATTCCACAATTAAAAGATTAAACGATTCAATAGTTCAAAATAGTTTATCCGTAAGTTCCATATTTAGGGTGTTTGTAAACTTTTTGCCATGACTGACTCATTCCCATTACAAGCTGCTAAGTTTAAAGATATAATCACAACACATGTGAACAAAAAAAACTAAAGCTAAAACATGTACTGAACAGTGTTGTTGTAAATTCTTACAAGTAAAACTTTTCACCAATGTAACATCACCTAAATGGCTGACATAGATGAGATTTTGTTGAAATATACTGTATGAATACATCTGTCATAAAGTTGCATTATACCTGTATCGTTTATTGAAAATTGAAAGTCTAGTCATTTTTTGTAAAAATCAGAATTTAATCAAAGAAATAATTTTTTAATCTAATTGATTAAAAAAAAAATCTAGTATGCAAGAAAGTGAATATATTTGGCAAGTTACCCTAACAGGCCACCAGAAAAAAAATGAATAAATAAATAAAAATCTCCCACTAAGACCTGATGGGAGATTAATATGAAGCAGCAGTAAATAAAAGGCTTGTGCATATCAGTGCAAATGGGACAAACTCCCCCAACTTCAGTCATCACTCATTCTTTATTACTGCCTAAGCTGAACCATTCTGTGATTCAGTGACGATTCTGCTTGTACATGCAGACCCTCTCAGTGGCACCTGAGAGTGATGCTTCGCTGATTCAGAAGACCATTAAATCAAAGCCAGAACCATAAATCGCATACTTTTATTATTAATTCTCTTCCAGCGGCACATGCACAGTGCACCAAGTGGCCGTGGTGATGATGTGATCGATCGGCAGGATGATTCATCTGCATCGTTCATCTTTGCTTATCAGAGGCAACCAGGGGCCAGGTTATGGATGTGTGTGTGTGTGTGTGTGAGATACTGTACATTTTCTGCACTGAGTAAACTTTCCAGATTGGGAGGAGGACGCTCAAGCACAGCCAGCTTAATAACTACCAAATGCTCCCTCCCCCTCTCAATGTAGCTGTATATAGCTGTTTTTGGCGTTGTTCTCAGAGTAGGAGATGAGAAGAGTAGCGAGAAAGGGAGGCTAAAAGAGACGAGTATCCAGACAGGCACTGGGAACGCACTGACGCAGTGAACAATTCTGCCTTCAAACCACCTGAAACGATGTTGATTTTCCTGCTTTTTTGGCTGAGCTTGTCAACAACAAGCGCAGCCCCTAACCTAAGGAAAGCACCCACAGAGGCACCTATTTTAGTCACCGCGCCGCCAACTGAGGCTAGATCCCGCTTTGCCATGTTAGATGATGTACGACTCCTGGCTAACGGTCTGCTCCAGCTCGGCCAGAGCCTCAGAGAGTTTGTGCACAAGACCAAGTCTCAGATCAATGACATCTTCCAGAAGCTCAACATCTTTGATCGCTCCTTCTACCAGCTCTCAGTGGTCACCAGTGAAATCAAAGAGGAAGAAGAGAAGTTGAAGGAGACAACCATATATTTGAAGGCCAATAATGAGGAGATCAGAAACTTGTCTATGGAGATCAACTCCAAAATCAACAACATTCTCCAAGAGCGAAGCCAGTTGCACAGCAAGGTTGGTGGGCTGGAGGAGAAGCTGAAGGGCTTGTCTGAGAGCATGATGCCTCTGGAGCAACTTCAAGAGATCACTGCATTGAAGGTGAGTCCAGTAAGGTTAATTCAGAACTTCCATTCTAATTAGTCCAAACTCCCATTATAACTAGAGGGCTTCTCAGTACCAATTTTTAAATTCATGTCTAAAAATGCATGTAAATCACACTTGATGGCAAGAGCAAAACCAAAATTAATGCATATCAATAAAACTGATCATATACAGGGATCTGTTACAGTTGAATCCAGTTATGCATTTACTGCATTAACAACTTGTCTATTGCAGGATGTGATTGAAACACAAGAAAGGACCATTACAGATCTGCTTAAATCTGTTAAAGAGCAACACGAACAGCTCAATTACCAGAAGACCAAAATTAAGAGTCTTGAGGATAAGGTATCCATCCGTTTCTATAATGTTTCATGTTATTTCCATTAGAAATTTAAGATTATACATTTTGAATTTATCATTCAAAGCATTTTTAATTAAAAGGGTCCCCCACATCTTTGACAAATGCATTTACAATTACAGTACACATCTTATAGAGATTGCACCAAGAACAATTTCTAACTAACAAAATATTTTGTACATTTTATTTATTATAAAATGTATTTGACTTCTTAAGAATTTAATTTGGTTATATTTTAAATGAACAGATTAAAATCTAGTTTTTAATAAATTAGATTTAAATTTTAATAATTTCAATGTCAAGTGATTAGAATTTTAAAAAATATTAAATGTAACTCTCCTGGCTTTATTTGCATTTACTGAGAATAAATATTCATTTATTTCAGCTGAACTATGACTCTTTTCAAGACACAGCTGAAAAACCTTTGGATTTAAACCCAGAAACATCTGACCCTTTTCGTTACTTAAAAATGAACTCCACTAATGGAACTGCGGAAATAAATGGTAAGAACAGCACAAAATCAATTAGTCATTTAAATTAAGTTACTTTAATAAATCCAAAATCATCAACTGTGATCTATGCTTCTGTTTTAAATCTGGTATTTGTGTACTTTGCTTATGTATATTGGTTACTCCACTCATGTGCAGCACTTTGGTCAGTCTCAGGCTGTTTTAAAAGTGCTTTAAAAATAAATCAACTAAACTGTGTGTTTTGCTGCACAGACTTTCCAAAGGACTGCAGTGATGTGTTCAAAAGAGGCCAGAGGACCAGTGGAATTTACCCAATCAAACCCAATCAATCTGAGCCTTTCTATGTTTATTGTGAGATAAGTGCTGGTAAGAGACCAATAATGTACATCTAATCAGACTTCCTATTGATATCAGTTACAAAAATTCGGACAAGTAAAAAGAAAGGACACAAGAAACTCAGGCTATGTGGCTACTTTCTTAAGAAAGCTGTGCCTTAATCACTATTCTTATCCAGCTGAATACAAGATTCTCTTTTTTACTTTTACTCTGTTTTAAGATGGTGCAGCCACAGTCATTCAGAGGAGGGAGGATGGTTCTGTTGATTTTGACCAGTCATGGGAAAAATATGAATATGGATTTGGCAAACTGGAAAGTAAGTATGCCCTTTTGTGTCATCATGTCAGATGTTTCCTTCTCTACCACTCCAACTGCCTTTAAAAGCTATAATCTAATTCTCTCAGTTCACACAGATTTAAAAAAAAAAAAAAAAAAAAAAAAAAAAAAAGAGAAGCCGCTTTGATCATCTATAAACAGCTTATGCTTTTGTTTTATGATGCATCTTTAGCTGGAACTAAGTGTAAATATCCTTGTGTTACAGAAGAGTTCTGGCTTGGCTTGGCGAAGATTCATTCCATTGCTCAACAAGGACAATACATTTTACACATCGAACTGGAAGACTGGAAGGAGGAAAAGAGATTCATTGAGTACACATTCACCCTGGAAGGTCCAGCATCTGATTATGCTCTTCACGTGGCACACCTGTCTGGAGATCTGCCTGATGCCATGAGCAACCACACTGGCATGAAGTTCTCAACCAAGGACAGAGACAACGATAATCACGACGAGTCAAACTGCGCCCGGAACTACACAGGTATCACATGGTCAAAATTATTATTTAATATTCCTCAATATATAATTGAATATTCCTTGTATATTAACTGTTTGCTGGTTTCAGGAGGTTGGTGGTTTGATGCATGTGGGGACACCAACTTAAACGGGAGATACACCTGGTTGAGGTTGAGGGCTCGGCACCAGCGCAGGAAAGGAATCTACTGGAGGCCAGCCAAAGGAAGCTCCTATACCCTCAAATCCACAAAGATCACCATCAGACCATCAACCCAGTTTCAATAATCCCTGACCCTATACCCTCCATTGGGTAATTCAGAATCAATCAGAGGGGTCACACTGGCAGCAGACACTAGCCAACAAAGCTTTTCCCTTTCTCTACAGACAGCAGAAACTGAATGATGCAACTGCAACAGATCATTGACTCTGGTAGAGGGTAATAGCCAAGTCAAAGGGTTATTGCAACATGCATGTGCTAGTTCGAAATCTTCATAGGTCATCAACTTGCAGCTTGTTGATCAAGAAAAGTTGTTTAAAAAACCCTAATACTGAACAGGTTCAAATGGCAAAGACCCATGGCGGATCACACCTCTGGAACAGGATCTGATGCATGTTATTATCAAGGGTCAACAAGAATCAACAATAAGTTTGTAGACTTATATGGATAATATTATAGAATTGTATTATAGAACATCATTTCACATACTGTATGTTAGCTTGAAGTTTTTAAGTATTTAAGCAATTTACACAAATGTGCAACAGTAGAAAGCATTGAGTAACACTTTGTAATAACTTTCATTAAATCATGACTACAATGCTTATGAACACATTTATTATTATATTATACGATAAATAGATATTTGTCATTTTGATATTGAAAATTATTTCAAAGTGTTACCAAGAAATGTGCTGTTATGGTTGAAGTTGGATCTTTTGCTCGTCTCTTTCTGTTACTGAGTCATATTGACTCCTGGTTACGTTTTGTACATACGCTGTACTGTATATATTTCGTTTACACAATGTTTCTCAATGGTAGTCAGGTGCATTATATTTATAGCAACACATTTAGACATTAAGGCAAAAATAAAAACCAGTCTTTCTGTAAATTAGCTCACAGCAGTCAGGTGAGACTTCAACTATACTTGGACTCACATGGCAAACTTTTTTTTATAAATTTCCCTGCATAATTAAAACTAATTTGAGCAATATCTTTTCAACAAAGAAAACAGTATAAAGTATATGAACAACTTCACTGCAGGCTCACAACTGAAATAAGCCAGTTGCCAGACTGGCACTACTGTTAGTTCATAGGGGAGGAAAAAAAATGTAACTGATAATAAATAAATAATCTAGCAAGAGGATCAAGCTTAACCTGTGTGGGAAATCAACCCTTCATAATTAACATGTTATATGACCTGTATATACGACAGACATGACAAGTGTGATAAATCCAGAATGTAAATGTTGTTGGCAGCAAAAGATGTCCCAATCTGCCAAGTCAGCATCACCTAAATCAAGGCTGACTATGCGGCGTGTCCGGTGGAAGATAACAAAGTTGGCACAGGCTGTGAGTGGACAAACATGCCCTGTGAATGACAGGTTATGTCAACATGCAGAGGATAAGAATCTTTGTCTGGTCAACCTTGACTAAATTAGTAAGCTTAAATAGAAGGGTTAGACCATACAGTGAGGTTGTCTGCTCACAAAGAAAGTGCTCTGGTTACTTAGCAATAAGAAGAAGACAGGGCTTTTCATAAAAAAGAAAGAAAGAAAGAAAGAAAGAAAATACTTGTTTGTGTTGGTGTGCGAGGCCTATATGATCTAGACCAGTGGTTCTCAGAAAACACTTGCCAGAAACACCTGGTTTGTTGTCATGCCATTATTTCAGTGATTTAGCAATGTCACCATGTTACACATTTTCATAAATCCTGGCTAGTGGCTGCTTTGGCCTGCCCCCAAACAGTAGGGTAAGTGATTTCGCTATTTCAAGGAGATGCTATTTTCCGCTGCAAGGGCAAAAAAACATTATATGGACTTTCAATAATTAGGCCATAGTTACCATAGACAGAATACGGTTTACAGTGAAAAGAGGCACTGGAGCAATATACAGTCTGTGAAAAATAATGTGCTTTTTGAACTTTAAATCATGTGAAAGCATTCTAGTAGAGCCCAAAAAATAAAATGATGAACTTGTAAATAACCATAATATGGGCACTTTAATCCAAATATTTTTAAAATTCACATAAAAAATTAATTGTTTAAAATGTGTAGAAACACTGAAGAACATTCAGCTCCTAAAAGTTCTGGAATCCTGAAAATTATTTCAAATTGAATTATTTTAGTTACTTTAAATTACAAAAACTAGGAGTGCCCATAGATTAAAATAAGTTTTGAAAACAAAACTAGGGCTATTTGCTTGCAAAGTCAGACGTCACACTTACCAGGTGTTACCTGTTACCAGGTCCCAGCGCTATATCAAATCCCAAAAGCAAACAACATATGGTGCTAATTAGAGGTGTGCTGTACTACTACTGAAATATCATGATCCTTACCTTTATCTCAATATCAAAATCTTCATCTTTTCTGAATCTTTAAAATATTGGTTTCCAGGACACTGTGAGCCCAGAGACTGTAGTGTACACTGTGAGTCTTTAAGGGCACTTTCACACTAGCACGTTTGGTGCGCACCCGGGTTCGATTGACGTCAGAGTTGGGTACGTTTGGCTAGTGTGCAAGCTGTCATGCGAACGCGGTTGCGCACCGGGGTACCGAACCCGAGACTACCTGAAAAAGGTGGTCTGAGTTTAATTGCACTCGAACTGTGGCGCGGTTCGCGTGAATATGACAGCAACACGGACTCGGGTGCGCACTTGTTCAGGAAGTAAAGTAACCTGCAATGCTTTTTAGTTGATTACAAAGTATTTTCTTCAATAAAACACATATAAGTGATGACAGTGTTGCTGATTTACCTTGGATTCGAGCGAGAGTGAGCCTGCAGTATATTCGCGTGTAGCAACTGCAATCAGAGCGGCAAATGAATGGTAATCCGCTGTCTCCTCAAAATAGCCGTCAACATGCGACGCACATACAGTAAACCCATATGTCGTTTGGGTTCGATAGAATCAAGAGAGTGTGAAACCAGACCAACGCTGCGGGGGGTGCCGGGAACAATCACACTCGGGTTTGAACCACAGCAAACGAGCCCAGTGTGAAAGCCACCTAAAAGTTTAGCTTAAATGTGTGCTATAAATAAAAAGTGCTACACATAAAAAGTCTACATTTCAAGTCTTGAAATGTAGTAGAGGCTTGTAATCGGAAACAGTGTTTGTTACATCACAACTTAGCAAGCGAATAGGGTGCCTTTGAATATTATTGTGTTGGATCCAAAAAGGTTGAGAATTACTGATCTAGACATTTATACCTGTAAGTGGTGTTGGGCACATAAATGTCCCTGGCAGGGAACTCCAGGATCTCTTTTGTTGGCCGCACTCGACTGTCTGGGTAAGGCTTCACTTGGAGCAGATCAGGCGTCAGGCAGTAGTGAGGGTTCTCGGGGGCTGGTGAGATGTCAATCTTCAGCTGGGCTGAGGGCATTTAATAAATGAGTAACATAACTCATTACATAAATGTTAATATGGCCAAAAATCTATTGCATAAACATGCCAAAAGAGCTCTACCTGTAATGGGCCTCAGTCTACGCAGCACAGAGGATGGGCGCCGCATGTCGGCTAGGAACTTGTAGAGATCTTCATCACTTAGTCGATCTCCTTCCTAATATGATATATTAATAAAATATGAAAAATATATTCAAATGTCAAAAGCAGGGGTATTTATTAGCTTTAGCGGTCCGACCTATACAATGACCGGTAACTGGAGGATAGTGAACTTTTGTTTTTTTAATATGAGGGTGACCTGTTTGAAGAAGTTGGTGACCGTCAGGGTGGCTGGTCTAAAGCTAGTCAGACTGCATGATTCATCTCCGCTGGTGGTTCTCTCCAGCGAACGACGCCCCACAATACTAGAGTTCCTCCGTTCGGACCAAGAGCCTTTCCGTTCTGTGTAATGATGCAGAGTCAAGTAGTTAAAACTTCAGTACTACAAGATCAGATAGGACAAAACAAGACAAAATTGTCAAAAAATAAATCTCTTAAAAATAAATAAATAAATGCTGTGGTATGGCATAAAGAGCGAAAAAGAAATAAAAATTGAGATTGGACTAGTCTTACTTCAGTCTTACGTCTTCATCACCCATTCAAATGTTGTTCCAAAAAATTATTTAAAACTACACAAGTACAAGATAAAAATGCACAACCATCTGTGTCATTTAAAGACTCACCTGACAGCCCCATCTCCAGCTCTGTGTCTCTCTCTAGGCTGCCGGCACTGTTCACTATGTTCATGAGGTGTATGGCCGTCCAGGCAAAGGGCATCCGATAACGCCCTAGTCGCTGGCAGAACTGTTCGGACTGACTGCGCAACTTCTCAAGCTTTTCCTTATTCTGTGGTACCAGAGAAGAGAAAATAAAAACAGTCACCATGCTGGACTGAATTCCACCAGGAGCTGGTGTACAATATATAAACTATTAAGATTGGCTTACTTTGGCAGCATCAGATTCTTTAAAGACCATGTAAGGCTCTGCACATTCTCCAATGTCTCCTTGCTGAAGCACCTTCTCAAGCTGAATGCAAATACAGTGCAAATGAGCAATGATAATGCACTGCTTTCAGTCAACACTACTCAAAACACTCCAATTAAGCAATAAATGAACATCAATGCAAAATTCAAATCAATGCAATAATCATCAAATATGCAACTACAAAAAAACAGTACACTTCATAAATCCATTAGTCATATTAACTTGAAAGCATTAATGCATGCAATGTTTAAAAAAATAAATAAATACATATTTATAAAATATATTGTAGATTATATTACTCCAGTATTCAGAGTCACATGATCCTTCAGAAATCATTCTGTTGTTTTGATGCTCAAGAAAGATTTATTATTATTGTTGATGTTTAAAACATTTTTTTTTTGTGAAAATCATGATAAAAATTTTTTTCCTGGATTCATTGATAAATAGAAAGTTCAAAAGTATAATTATGCATATTCTGCTCATGTTTCATGAATAAGACTCTGACTGTTAAGAAGGATGCTGAATAATGTAACCAACCTTGATAACAAGGAAAACGTCTTGAGAAGGGTAGGTGATAGAAAAGACAGCAGAGCGGGCCAGGGTGGAGATAGCAGCAGATGGGATGTGAGGTCGCAGCATGGCCTTCGTTTGCTCAGAGTTCAAATCAAAGTAAAAGTTCTCCGATATCTGAGGATTAAGACAGGAAAACGTTAGGATTCATCAATGTCTGACGAACAACTAAAATCCTTGAACACAGGTGACTACTACCCTCTAGTGTTTAAATTAGTTAACAATGTCTTGTGACAGTGTGAAAATAAAGAAAAAATAATACAGAAATTCAGAAAAAAATGGACTTGTGGCAAGGACCCTGAAACAATCAGGACTTCACTTTAAGCTTTCATTTAGTGATGAGTGATTTTTTTGCTACAAAAAAAGCAGGAGAAATACCAAGCAAGTGTCTCAGAGCTGTCAAAAGCTGTAAAAAAGAATGACTGTTTATCTCACAGAGTAAGAAGTAGCCTGCAGAAGTGACATGCATGGTTGTTGTCCACACTGGATCTACTTGCTGTAGCCAAAGCACAATAAACCCATGTAACCTTTTCCAAGGCCCATATTTACAAAATATAGACTTCTGGGAATCCATACTCCGTTCTCATGAGACCAAGTCGATTTCGGATTTAACAGCATCCAAAATGTTATGGTGTTGCTAGAGGAGGAGTACAGAGAGAAGTGCCTGGTTCCCACAGTGAAGTTCAGTGGTAGTAAAGCTCTTCTATAGGGATGTAAGAGTGCTGAAGGTGTGAGGGAGTTGTGCTTTATCAATGCGGTCATGAATACACACACCACTGTGTGATGTAATACACAAACTTGAAACAGAAGATGTTAACATCTCCTCATTCCCTGTGTTGTTGGGCATTTTTTCAACATGACAATGACGATATGCATTCTCCCAAGTTGAAAATCCTTTAGTGGACATGTATTTCACCCAATCTTAACACTCTTGAGCACCTGTGGGGGATTCTGTAGAGTCGAGTTGAGCAACACTCCCATTGCATTTAAGGATTTAAACAGGACAGTTGTGACAATTTGTCATGAACTTGTACACTCAGTGCCAAGAAGGGTCAGAGCAGTAGACTAAAAATAATGGAGGACATACTAAGTACTAGCATAATTATACATACGTTGAATTAAATCTAGGGTGTACTGATTTCAGCAGTCCTTCCTTTAAACAAAATTGGCTCATTTATTTATTTTACAGATATTAATGACATATATTTCTCTATTTTTATTAAGTATATGTTTAATACATTTAAATGTTGCCATCTTTCCATTAATTGTATTAGCGATCATAGAAAAGTACATCTTTTGTATTTGTACTCATTTATGCATTTAAAGAAATGACAAAATATTAAAGATTAAAGTGGACATTTGAATTAAATGTTGTTTAGTCTATATTAAAGGGGTCATATGATGCGATTTCAATTTTTCCTTTCTCTTTGAAGTGTTACAAGCTCTTGGTGCATAAAGAAGATCTGTAAAGTCTCAAATCCAAAGAGATATTCTTTATAAAAGTCTTTTTTCTTTATAAAAAGAGTCAACCACGCCTACCTAAAACGGCTCGTTCTAACACGCCCCCACATACCTACGTCAC